AAAAATTAAAAGGAAAATAAAATAATAAACATACTAAAATTAAAATTAAATTAAAAAGGTGTGGGGACATAGCTCTGCAGCAGAGCATTTGCCTAACACACAGAGGTCTTGGGTTTCAGCCCAGGAACTGAACACTGCACTTCACTGCACTACCATGGGGGGGCGCTTCAGACACCACAGTAGGGGAGTAGGGGGCGCTCGCCCCGCAGGGAGGCCCCACTGCCCAGAAAGAGAGTCCTCAAGAGACCCAGTGTGCCCACACTCCTCCCCAGAATTCAGGGCTGCACCGTACACCCATATGGGCAGCCAGAGAAGGCCTGCCTGGACACCCCCAGGGGCCCCACAAGCTTGGGGCTCCAGGCTGCGACCCCTGCAGCCCTGGGCGGGGTTCCCCTCCTGTGGGGGTGAGCTGTCCCCAGTACTCCACCCAACACAGAAGACTTGAATTTGGAGGTGGGGCTTTCAAAGGGAAACTGAGTCCAAGTGAAAGCCCATGGGGACTGCACCCCATGCAGGGTGCCGCGCGTCCGTGTGAGAAGGGGATCAGGACCCAGACATGAGGGGACGCTGTCTGCAGCGCTGGCCCCCACAGGGTTCCTGGTGCTGCCCAACTGCCCTGCTTCCTAACAGCTCCACCCCTGGGGAGGAGAAGTCTTTCCCGCCCAGGCCTCTGGCCCGCAGCAGCCCACCCCCAGCCCCCTCCACCCCCACCCTCCACCCTCCCCCCACCCCATGATAGATTCTCCCTATATAGTCCATGCTAGCCTTGAAATCATGGTGATCCTCCTGCCTCAGCCCCCCAACTTCCCCCCACCCCCACTCCTACTCTCCGCTCCCACCCCCAAGCCCCCAGGCTCTGTGGAGCTTCCACGCAGATGCAGAGCAGGCACTGATGAGCTCAGCCCAAGCTGTGCTCTCTCTCACCCACGTGCAAGACTGCACCTGAGCTCTCGCTTCTCCAGGTGGTGGCGCTGCCACCCCAAGCTGGAGCGACCCGAGGCCCCACCCTGCCGGCTCTGAGCAAGGGGTGCAACGGAGACAAGGAAACCCTGGAGACAGCCGAGTGGCCCAGAGCTGGCCACAGCAGTGCACATTTGCCAGGCCCAGGTCAGGATATGAACAAAACTCCACAGGGAGGTGGGTGGCACACAGACTCACCTGATTGGCTCTGGGGTCTTCACAAGAGACCACCCTGGTCACTGAATTCGATCTGGGGGTCAATATCAGCTCAGAAGCTGGAAAGGCAAAGGGAACATTATTGATCTCCTTCTGTCCCCCTTGCAAGATAGGGTTTCCCAAGAACAAAACAAGAGTGACTCTATGGGTACAATGCTAGTTGCGGGTCCACTGGCAGCAGTGAGAGGTGTCTATAGAGAGCCAGAGGCACACGAGTCACTTAATCACGCGCTTGCCATTAGCAGCTAGAAACAGCCTGAACCCATCTCCCCCCAGCCAGGGAAGAAGTCCTGGTCCCCATCTTAAGAGAGAGATCCTATCCAGTGTGCAAATGTCGCCCCTGGCAAGTCCTGTGGCTGCTCAGTCTTGGAGACCAGGGCTCTTTGGTTCAGCCAACCCAACTTGGCTTGGTGGGAAAATTACCATACTCACCAAGCCTTAAAGCCTAGTTAGTGCCTACCAAGCCTAACCACCAGGTGCCCCACAACCACACATGCGCTCTGCCACTCACAAATTGTGGGCTGATGTGTAAAGTGTATATTAAGTTTTTTAGGACCTGAGCAGCAGATGTGCAATACAAGAGGATGTGCCTGGCTACAGCTCTAAGTCCCCCACTCTATACAAAGCCCAAAAAATTAAATTAAATTAAATTAAATTTTAAAAAACCAAAAAAATAAAAACCACCAAAAAATAAAAGAACAAAAAAATAAAAAATAAAAAACAAAAAACCCCAAAAAATAAAAAACCAAAAAAATTAAAA